AGTAAAAACCTCCATTCCAAATACTCTAAAATATGCTTGTTGTGGTCGTTGAGCTGCTCATATTTTAAAGCATATCACTTCATTGTTGTCTTAATGTTCCCAGCTGTTAACAGAATAATCGGCAAATGTAGCTGGATTTTGAAAATGAAAGTGATACCATCAAATTGTTTTTCTGCCTTCTGAAAGTTTATATGGATATTGAGCAATGAGTTCTGCTTATCAGTTTATCAAGGTAGTCTCCACTGGTAGGAGGAAAGCAATTAATATAGTTATTTTATCATCTTGCAATTTCATGCTGTTGCCTCTGAAACCTCCTTCAGTTCTGACGTTAAGTGCTGTAGAAGAGCGCTTGTCCCAAGAAAAGAGCTAATGTTTAAAGAACATCCGGACATCTTGGATAGTCTTGATTGTGGTGTATAGTTGAGGATGTGTCCAAATAGGGTGCCTGTGAGTGCCCCTTTAAGTCTAGCAAGTTTGTTACAAAAAAAATCTTTACAATTAATTATGTTTGTGTTTTGGTGTAAAATAGTAATACGTGAAATTGAAATGCTGTCATTGTAGATGATAAACATAATCAGTTATGTGATTTTTTTATAAGTGGTAGGTAGTTAAAAGAAAGCACTTAAGGTTTACCCTCTCAATTAAAATGTTAAAATTTAACTGGTTTTCTCATGTTTACCAAGGTTGTGATTAATAAAATTCTAATAACTTGTCTTCCTCTTCAACTTTCTCTGAAATGGAGGATAGAGCCCTGATGTTGTTATCACTGCTTAGCAGTACTCCCTTGATCTTAGATACCTCCTACTTGGAATGGTTTGACGTTTGGGGAAAGATGGCATAACTACTGCCAAGAGATAAAGGATGAAAGCAGAAGCCAATGAGCAACAAACAGCAGAGGTGAAGCATAAAGAAAAGGGTAGCAAAACCTACTCCTGCCTGTGGAAGCTCTTTGTAAATGTGTTGTCAGATTACTTTGCAATTCAGCTCTTGAACTCCTCTTTAATCACCTGTTTCCAAGCCTTTCATTGTACATCGGCAGATAGGATAGCACCACAAGCAACTTCAAGGCAATATGAGAAGTAACTATTATTGTAGCTTCTCATCTCTTTCTGTCCTTGTATACAGGCAGGTTATTTAACAGCAAAAAGGTGATTTGCAATATAGTCCCCTACCCTAACTGGTGGGTTTTATGGGTTGAAGTTAAATCCAAAACACTTAAGCTTTTGTGGTGTTCTGTCCCAGAGCAGACTTAAAAGTGATTTCAGTCTTTTGGAACATACATACGTAAAAAACATGAACAAAATGTTTCCAGAGGACTATTAAAATGGAAATGTATTAAAAATACTTCCTTGTTTGTGCAGATGTTTAAAGTTCTCTTAATAGCAGTGACTGACTACTGCTGGTATCTTTCTGATCTTTTTTTTTAAATGAAGATCGTCTTAACATATCCCTTTTACAGAGCTCTGATTATAGTAGTAGGCAGCATGTGTCCCTAGTCTCAGTGTTTAATCTGGATATGAAGGTGACTTTCCAACCTGGGAAATTATTGTAGAGATGTTGATGTTATTCACTGTTTAAATACTTAGGAGCTTATGTCACTTTCTTCTTTGGAAAGTTCATGTTAATTACAAACATTATCCGTTTAGGCAAATATTAGCCATTTCTTTCAGATGTAGTCAACACAATTGCTGGTACTCTGACCTCATTAAAGAAACAATTTAGGTAACAGCTTGAAGTACAGGAAAAAGAGATGCACTAACAACAAGGTTAATGTCTGGGTAGCCCCACACTAGAAATGGTGCTTCTCTGTTTGCACAACATAAGGTTTGCAAAGCAGATGCTTCTAACAGATATGTACTAAAATGATAAATATTTCATTAAACATGCTGAAGAATCATTTGTCACAGTTTACCATAGCTGTTTTTATACTTCAGGCTGAAGCATGCAGTACCTAATGACATACATAGTTGCAGTGAATCATGTTTGTTTGCGCTTCTTGAATACAAATGCAAATATGTTAGTGTCTCAAGTCATGCCTATTGCTTTGGCATTCAGCTATAAATGCAAAGTCCTACTCAACCAGAGTCAATAGCTAGAACAAGAATAAACCTACATACCTTCAGGTTTCAGAGGAACTTTGTGGGTTTTGTAACGTTTATGCTTGCTTTTGTAACAGTTAAGTATGCTTACAAAATCAGTAACTCATTCAACAGTATTGTTTTGCATAGAAGGCTGGGTTTCTGATGGCTTGGGAGCAATACAGCTGAGTGATCTGTGACCTTCAGGGTGATGAAACCCGATGGGAGCATGCAGTGGTGCTAAGTGTTTTGCAGGTGAGTAGTATCCCACTGCTGCTCTGTTAAGTTGGTGTGCAGGGTAGGCAGGATGGGGGAAGATAAACGTTTTTATATTTTATGGAAAACTGTTGGTGCTTAACTTTCAGCAGGTTATCATCTGCTAAATGAATATTTAGTTAATCACTATTGACTGTATCACAAACAAGTCTGCTAGGAAGTGGTACTTCATTATTTCTGACTCTTGAAAAGCCATGGTATTTTCTTGTTGCAATTACAGCTCATGTAGAAGTAGGACTTGTTCGCCTGCTGTCTTATTCCATGTGTCTTTGCGTAGGAAAACTTGCTAAGAACATTAACTTCACCTCTTTATAGCGCAAGAGTATTTAGCTGCCAGATTGAAATTTTTCATTATGGTGGCTGTGCCTTTGTGTTAACTCCACCACAAAATTCTTTCTCTCAACAAATGGATTAAAAAGGGAGTTGAAAAAAAAAGGAAAAAAAAGCCAAACCCAGAATTGCTTCCATGCTGCTTTCATGGCCTTTGCTGAGGGATGTGGTTCCTTACAAAAGCTCTATCAAAAGTGAAGTTGCATCCCATCCTCTGTTTACCAGTAAATAGAAGAGAATGATTTTTTGCTAATGGAATTCAGTATGTCTAAGCAGACTAAACCCGTACATCTATTCTGTTTGGCTACAGAAGTCAGTTAAGGTGGAATAAACAGAAAGCGAATTCATATTGAGACTATGGAATAGAAACTTCTGTCTCTCAGTTCACTGTTTTATACTTAATATTGAAAATCTGCAAAACTGTAAAAATACTGCTATCCACTGCCACTCAAACTTCTTTTATTTTTACACACATTAACTGCTTTCAGGGTCTGGAGTAATTTGGTACTGAAGAAACCTTTTGTTTCAATTTAAAGTTGCTGTCAGACTCCATCCTAAGAAATGTTCTGTGGGAAGTACACAGTATGCTGTAAGTCAGAGTTGTCTTTTACCTGTTTTGAAAAAAGGGAAGGGCTCACAGGAGTAGGTCTTTAAAGTAAAGATGGATGTAAATTAATAAACAGAAGTGGGCCTAATCTCAGTCATATTTTCTTAATGAACACATTTCTCTGTGCCTTCCATCCAGAGGAGCTGGTCAAGTTTATGGTGTAGATTGAACCCTCTTATTACTGTTGGTTGTGGTAGAGAGGCAAGCATAGAAGTGTGAGGACTGCAGTGCCTCCTGTGTTTCATTGCAGTTCTTTCCCTGCCGTTCTAGGTGTGGACAGTAGGAGAGGAAATCTCTGCTCTTTTTCAGTAGAACTGAAGATTGATCTTGCTGCAGCAGAGGGTTACTTCTGAAAGCCAAGGTGACATGCCTGGGGGAGATCAGCACCAGGAAAGGTCCAGTATCTATCTGAATTACAGATCTGCTACACAGCTGCTCATGTTAGATGAAGATTCAGACTAGACCAGAGTGCGGAACACCTGGATTCACTCTGCTCAGGCTCCTTGTCTGTGTGCCAGCCCTTCCTGTTTTTAAAGATCCTGTTTACTGTCTGTGTTCCAAATATCCCAGGAAGGTGGGAGGATGGGAAGAAACAAGGAAAGAAAACAACATTATTTAAGGTGGAAATTTATTTTTATATATAGTCAGCATTTGTTACCTATCTAATCTAATTTCATGAATGACATTCTAGGGTGATTTTTTTTTAAATATATAATCTTACACTAATTTCCAAAAGCAGACTATTTCTGCATGTGAAAATTGACACTGAAGCTCTTAGTATTTGTAGCAAGGAGCAAATACTGGTGTGTGGTGTGTTTTTTTTTTTTTTAATTTCACATTCTTTCTGATGTTCACATAAAAAATGTTTATCATCCATATAAAATAGAGTACGTAATAAGAGGAAAACCTTACTTCTGTTGGTATGAAATACTGTTCTGAATTTTGCTAAACTTTAAAGCTTTTGAAGACCTTGAAAGAATTCTGAGTGCTGCGCAGTATTTTTCAGAGTGCACACTTAGCTGTGGAGGAACAGCTCCAGCCAGAGCCAGGCAGGAGAGTAATTCTCATCCTGCTACACAGCAAACCAAGCTAATCGTTGAAATAATGAATAAGCAGATATGTGAAGTGTAAAGAGAAAATGTGTTGGTTTTGTAATTTTGTTGTACTTCATGACTACTAGTCTTCTAGAAATAATAAAATCCTTTCATTTAAGATGAAGCTAGAATTATGGAATGTTTCAGAACTAAAAGGAAAATTTAATTCCAGGGTTTCCTTTGTTAACAAAGAAGAAAAAAAAATCCGCCTTAAAGTGGAAGAAAATGTTCTAGGACAGGCATTCTGCTCTTGATATGTCATGAGATCCCTGGGGAAAAAGCACCATCGCAGTGGGAGTTGTAGAGGTCACCAGCAACTTGCAAATGTTTCTTTCTCGTGATCCTGTTTTCATGGTTCCCAGATAGTGAGTGAAGCTATAAACATTATGCCTGCATGGATGGGGGAGGGCAAGCAAAGGGATTTGAAAATAGGAATTTACAAAGGTCTTTTGGTTTTCTTGGATAAAAAAATAAAAAAAATAAAAAAATCCAGCAGTAGTAAATCTTTTTAGATTGTTCAGCTTGGTTTTGTTTTAGCTGTTTGATTCTGTGTTCTTTTCAGCAATCGATAACATAGAATTGCCCAAGAGGTTTTATATGTATATATGTACTGCGTTCTTTTTTTCTTTTCAGTATGACCACACCATTAATTTTATTCATGGTTGTCTGAAAGTCACTACAACCAGAATCCAAGAATATTATATTTTGCAAAAAAGTCTGCTTGTAAGATAACTTCAAAGAAAACAGCATTGAAACATAGCCAACCCATGTTCCCATGTCTAATAAAACTGAAATTTCTTTTCACTAATTTCCACTGAGATTTAATATTCACAGGGAAGAATAATTTTGTATTTTTGCTGTACTATAATTCTATGGATGCTACCAGTAATGTTTTTGGTTTTTTGCTCTGTGTAGAAGAAGACAAAGCTACTCAGCACTGTTTTGCAGGGGGGAAGAAGTAGGTAACTACAAATAAAATAGATTGTGTTTGGAATACTTGCCTGTTTCAGAAGGAAGCTAAATGCTATTAAGATGTGTTTTTGACAGTGTTAAGTCCTTCTGTTTGTTTCCGTTGAGCTGCTGTTTGTGGTCAGATAAGCAATTCCATGTATCTGAGCCTTTTCTGTGAAATAATGACAGTAACACACAAGAAATAAGATGACAAAACTGCAGTACAAGAGTCTGCTGTTTCTGTTCTAAACAAAGCAGTATTTCTGCTTTTTAAATCTCTGTGTAGTAGTGTTTTCATAGAGGACAATTTCAGACCTCTTTGTATCCACTTCCTGTATTTTGGCAAATTGCCAGCTTGGCAGTCAGGAAGAACAAAAGGACAGTATTGAAAATACCTAGTCTGGGGCAGTCTTACTGTCACCACACAGCAGGTTTGGACAGCAGCAAAATTAAACAGGCAATTCTGCCCAGTTTTCTTTATGGTGAGTTTTGGAATGCATAGTGTGTCTGAAGATGAGAATAAAACATTTTGCTCTTTAGAAAGTTTCAGTGTATCTTTCATTCTGAAAAGTGTTATTCTTGTCCCAAGAATCTTTTTATGTCCTCCCTCTCCCTTTTGTTTCAGGAATTGCACAGAAGTTTAAAAAAAGCTTATTTGGGGATATACCTGTGCCTGATACTGTTGGTTTGATAGAGCATTAAGGAAACTATAAAACCTACACGAGTGCTCAGTAAATCAAAATCTATAAGCACAGCTGGATTGTTTATTGAGTAGAAGGCACTTTCTTACAAGTAATGCTAAGAGTCTAGAGTAAACTTCTACATGGAAGAGAAATCAAATCTAGACACAAATCCTCATGAGCAGCTCTTCGGTACCAAAGATACATCAAATTATAAAACATTGCTACATCCTGCCTCTAAAAGCAATGTAATGATATTTGTGCTGTGACTGGAGAAAGTAATAGACTTCAGTTAAACTGTTATAGTTTACTGAATGACTAATTGAGTTTCAGATACAGACTGATAAAACTGAGTGTTTAGTCTATCATTTTGAATTGATTTTGAAACACTAGCTGATGTTTATAGCAATGCAAAATTATTCAGCTCTCAGTCACTGAAATGCTTACCTCTTTACATAAGCAATGCCACACTTTATGCATGTAACACAGCATTACAGCACAGTACACTTCTGCTTCTTGCTTCCTTCTGTGCTTGCTAGATTTCTTGCTAGCTGGCACATTATAGGTGGAGGAATTTGCTTTTTGCAGAGCCTGACCAGTAACTGTAGGTGCTTGTGCTGATGACCGACAACCTTAATGTCTGGTAAAGTGAATAAATTTTTTTCCCTCTGGACTGGCCCACAGACTTTCACTATGGGTCTTTATCTGCTTTATAATGCTAGATGGAGTTCCTCTCTTTGGTGAACATGCTCAGAGGTAATTGACAAAACAGGGTAAGAAGCCTGTTAACTGTGTTAACAGTTAAATCAGTTAACTGCGGTTTTAATATATAATATGTTAGTGATGGAGAATGTGCTGAATGGATCAGGAAGGCTGAAAAGAATGTGGATTTAATCAGTGAGTGTTTTTTGAGTTCAGCCTTTCTTATCATCTTGTGGTATCACGGAATCATAGTATGTTTTGGGTTGGAACCCAGCAATCACCTAGTTCCAACCCCCTCTTCTGTGGGCAGGGATGCTTTCCACTAGACCAGATTGTTCAAAGCCCCATCCAGCCTGGCCTTGAACACTGCCAGGGATGGGGCAGCCACAGCTTCTCTGGGCAGCCTGTTCCAGGTCTCACGACTCCCAGCAAATAATTTCTACCTAATACCTAGTATAGATCTTCCTTCTTTAAATTGATTCCCCTTTGTTCTATCCCTACATACCCTTGTAAAAGGTCCCTCTCCAGCTTTCTTGTTGGCCCTCTTTAGGTATTGGAAGGCTGCTCTAAGGTCTCTCCGGAGCCTTCTCTTCTGCAGGCTGAACAAGCCCAACTTGCACAGCCTGTCGCCTTGGGAGAGGTGCTCCAGCCCTCTGATCATCTTTGTGGGGTCCTCTGTGCTTGCTTAGATAGGTCCATGTCCCTCATGTTGGTGACTTCAGAGCTCGATGCAGTAATCCAGTTGGGATATCATGAGTGGAGTAAAGGAAGAGAATCCCCTCCTTTGATCTGCTGGCTATGCTCATTTTGACGCAGCCCAGCATAGGGTTGGCTTCTTGGGCTGTGAGCGTACATTGCCAGGTCATATTGAGCTTCTTGTTAAACCAGCACTCCCAGGTAACCACACAGCTTGGTGTAATTGGCAAACTTGTGAAGGTACGCTCGATCCCACTCTCTGCATTGCTGGCAAAGATGTCAAGGAGTGCTGGTCCCAGTACCAACCCCTGAGGCACGGCAGTTGTCACTGATCCCCACCTGGACATCAAGCCATTGATTGCCGCTCTTTGAGTGCAACCATGTCTCACCAATTTAGAAACGTGGATGTTGCACAGGACAGTGTCAAATGCTTTGTACAAATCCAGGTATTCCAAAGCTTTTGGCAGAGGAAAACAGTTTAAGGTGGTTTTGGAAAGTATGGGATTGTAGGTGTGGTGTAATATTTATTTGAAGTGTTTGCATGTACTCTTAGTGGGATTTAAATAACATTTCTCTTGAATTCTCTTACAGTCCTTTTACTGTCGAAGAACATAATTGATTCTATTTATTCCAGGCAGCCTTCCAGGTTTGAAAGTGTACACAGAAACACAAGCTGCCAACGATACTTCAGAACAGTTTCTGTTTACATTTTTGCTTTCCAAATCTAAACCCTGGAGGCGTGCTTACATATGCAAGTAAAATGAATGTGCACACAGAATGACTATATGCACCATTCCGGCATGTCTGTACCCCAGTTCAAAACAAGAGCTGCTGTTTTGTTGCAGTTGCTCTAAAAAGATTGTAGGTTTTGGACCGTTTACAAGTCTTTCAGTGAGTGGTATTGAGTTGTCATTTAATGTGTGAAATACTTAAAAAGCCAAGGTTGACATTTATTTTGAAAAGATACTTGCCTAAAAGGATTTAATACACGCATATGTCACCTAGTCCTGCCTCTGTTTTTTTTTTGTTTGCAATTATTGGTGGGCATGGAGGAAAAACTTGCAGTGGCTCAGACTACATTCCTAGAGCTGAACTAGCTCAGGACTACTGCAGTCATGCTCACTCTCCTGTGCAGACCCTGGCATTCATCTGACTCCATGGTGATCTCAATAAGGCAGCTAAAACAGCAGAAGCTAGTCCAGAAAGGAGGAGTAGTTTTCTGCCACTTTAATCCATTGGACCCTGTAACGAGCTGGCTCCAATGCCAGCATGATGAATGAGAACACATGCCTTGGGCAGGGAGAAGATGGGTTCTTAAAACTGTCAGTTCAGAGGAGCCTCAACAGGATTGTAGAACTGAACTTAAAAGACTGCTGGTATAAACTAGTCTGTGTTCTGAATATTTAGTTTGATTGTGGTCCATCTATATTATCATTGTTTGTATGTCTGGACAGAAAAGTTCTTATGACTGCATGTTCTTGTTTTGTTGTTCTGTTTTTATTATGCCTGTGTATGTCTTAACAGTAATGTGTTTCTGCCAGTGCTTGTAATTAAGAAATAAAAATAAGCATGTGATTCAGCAGAATTAAGAGGGAGTTGTGTTCATGCTTTGCCTGATCAAAAAGATGCTATTTAATCCTTTGTGTATTTCTTTCTATCTGTAAACTGAGGATAGTTATCGGTAATTCAGAATTCTCCCAAGTTACTCTAAATGGTGTTATGTGGGTTCATTTGAAGTGTTTTGTAATTGATAAGCTTTCTAAGTTTTTCTCTTTACATGCACCGTGAGTGTGCTTGGAACTTTTAGTTTCAGCTTGAAGCTTTCAGTTTCCGCTCACTAGAACTAGTAGAATAATGAGGAAAATTAAACAGCTTAAGCTCTTGTTAAAAATGTCAGTTGCAAAGACCTTGTAAATATGCATGAAGTGTTGGTGGAACAGCACTTTTCTAAACTTGCAGTGGCACTTCAGTACTCTTGTTGATGTTTTTAAAAGCCCCAAATCCAACTATAAAGGAGGGATTAATAAAGACGAACCTATTGCTACTCAGAGTTGCTTAAGAAGCAGTAGACACTCTCATTCTAATGTTTGGGGTTTTTTAAGAACCAAAATGGGGCAAAATCATGTACTGGATGTACTTGGAAGAAAATTCAGAAAATAAGCACAAAGGCATAGAAGTGCAGAAATGAGGATAATTTTTTTTTTTTACATACAGACAATGTTTAGACATTTATAATTTTATTTATATATACGTTATCTATTTTTAAAAATTGTTCAGCAAAGGGCAAACAGCATTCATTGTCTTTCCGCAGTGAGAGCTTACAGAAAGTTGATGAAACAGAAAAGATGTGAAGCTTTTGATTTGGATTTTTTCCTCCTTTCTGTTACTACAAAAAGAAACTAAGGCAGAGCAGAAGTCCTAAGAGGGTTCTTGACTGAAAAGGTGACTAAGAATGGCTTTAGTATAATAGTCTGGTATAGCCATGTGTTTTCGTGACACTTGCTTAATGGAGGAGGCATAATGGATAATGGACTGTTGGTATTATCCTCTCATAATGTACATGCTGAAGTTAATGAAATTATTGTCTAAGTGTAAGTAATGCACTGTTTGAGATTTGCTTAATGTATAATGGTAACTTTGTGGTAAATTATTCTGCAGTGGGAGCTTAAATATATGGTATGCAGTTCAGCAGAAATGTCCTGCTTTTCTGACTGTCACTGAGCAGCAACTACTTATTTGGAAAGCGGTAAAAAATATGTCACTGTGTAAATGTGTGCTCAGTTTGTACCTTGAATGTGGCCTGGAGATATGGTTGTTCCCGATCTGCATTTGCATCATGCAAAAAAGGGCATGGTAAATATGGAAGAGGTACAAAGAAGGTGACAACGATTAACAAAAGTATAGAAAGACTTTTGGGCAGAGGAGGGCTAAATAATCTGGGATTATTATGGAAAAGAGGTAGTGGGGAAGACTTCATGGATTGCAATAAGATTAAGAGCAATGGATGCAAAGATAAGGAACTTGGTTTCTTTACAAGATATCTGGGATATCAGGTGAAAGTAACAGGCTTCAGAACAATGAAAAGCAAATACAT